TGGGGTTTCGCCTGACATACTTTGGACATGTTGTAAGGAGAGACAGGTCTTTAGAGAGGGACATCATGCTGGGTAGAGTAGAGGGACAGCGCAGGAGGAGAAGACCCTCTATGAGGTGCATTGATTCAGTGACTGGGGTAATCGGGATGGGTGTGTCAGAGGCAATGAGATTGGCACAGGTTAGAGCACGGTTTAGGGCTGTTGTACATAGGTTCGCTATGAGTCGCAAACGACTCGACAGCACGTAACTACAATAACAACAACAGCTATATTTTTGAGGAACATTCTTCCAAGTCATACAGCACTCTGGTCAATTTGCTGTGATGAGGTAAGCTGGGTTTGCTGTGACACTGAATCTTGTGCCATTTGGATCTCAAATGCCATAATGGAACACCTGTGCCCAGATTGATTCAAGTTTGGAAGCAGGAGTGGCATCCACTTCCTAAATTACAAGTCCCTAAACACTCTACGAACTTGGAGAAATGATAATTATAGAAAGGCTTCAGGCTTTTTGTTCATCTATCTATCTATAGATATCTGTATCTCTTTTGTATTTAAAAGTCGGTTGGGCCCAAGGGTCTAGTATTATCTTATTTTGGAGGGACATTTTTTAAAGTTGTACAGCAGTCCTCTGTCGATTTGCTGCACTGAGGTAATCTGAGTTTGCTGTGATGCTTACTCTTATGCCTCTGGAGGGGGGCTGTCAAATGCCATAATGGCTGTCCATAGTGGACAGTGTTTGGTGGAGCTCCCAGTTTAAGACAGGTTTAGGAAGCAAGACTGGCATCCACTTCCTAAATCACATGTCTCTGTAAACTCTGTGAACTTGGAGAAATGAAGGTAACTATAGATAGGCTTCAGGCCTTTTGTTCATAGGGTCACTATGTGTCGAGCTCTACTTGATGGCAATAAACAACAAGAAGCACGTTCTGGCTGCACTTTTTCCAAGATGTATTTGTTCTTTTGGCAATCCATGGATATTTAGTACTCTTCTTTAACATAACAACTCAAAGGCAGCAATACTTCTGTTCATTACTCATTGTCCAGCTTTCAGATGCTGAATCAGCATATCTTAGTTTTCAAACTGACATCACTGCTTCTCAGTAATTTGGAGAGGTCCCTACCAGCTGACTTTCCCAATGTACTCTGTCTCCTGATCTGATTGCTGGTATCAAGGATGTCAATTGTGGATACAATTAAGATGAAACAGTTGACCATTTCAATCTTTTTTTAATCTCCCATGCTGTTGCTTATTGGTCCAGTAGTGAAGATATTTTTGTTCTCTTGACGTTGAGCTGCAATCCATATGGATGGCTGTAGTTCTTGATTTTCTCAGCAAGCGTTTCAAGCCCTCCTCACTTTTAGCAGGCAAGGTGATGCCATTTGCACCACAAGGTTGCTGACAAATTTTCCTCAGATCCTAATGCCACATTCTGTTTCAGAGTCCAGCTTCTGGAATGATTGGCTCAGCATGCAGATGAAGTAGATACGGAGAAAGGATACAACCCTGATGCCCAGCTTTCCTGATCTTAAATCATGCAGTGTTCCCTTGCTCCCTTCGGACAACAGCTGCTTGTTCTAGGTATGGTTTTTTAATGAGCACAATTACGTTTTCAGGGATTCTCATACCCACTAGCTATGTTGTTATGTATTCTCAAGTAGGAACTGATTCAAGAGCTGACCTTCCCGGTGGTTTTTCGAAGCAGTGAATCAAACGGGATGTGACTGCCTCGCTGGGCTACCTATGTTCTCAGAGCGCCTTTTCTTTATCTGTTGCTGTGTACCGTCACAATATTCTGGCAACAGAATATTCCCACTTAATCCTCTTCCTGATTCCAGGTATGTAGGGGCGGACTCCGGGGGAGGGGGCGGACCCCCGGGGGGCGGTCTTCAGGGGAGGGGGCGGG